CTATGAGCACGACAAGCCTAGAGCGTGTATTTATACTACTAAAGATATCTGTGCAAAACCACTAACAGATTTCTGTTCCAGAGACATGTATGCCGTAGCATTACAAAATACAAGGAGGGAAGTTTAGTCGTCACCTCGGTCTACATGCCTGAGGAAGACACCCCTTCCCCTCACGACCTCGTCAGGCTGGTGAATTTCTGTGAGAGGGCCGGACTAGAGGTTGTGATCGGGACGGACTCCACGGACATCCCCTTTGGGGAATGGAAAAACCTAATGAACGAGGTAAAGTTTTAGTAGAATATTTATTTAGCACTAACCTAACCATACCTAACAACACACTGGTTCTGAACCAACCTTCATAAATAAACGCTGTCGCACAATAATCGACCTCAAACTTGCAACAGAAGGAGCAGCTAAGCTAATAACGGGATGGCATGTGTCGAAAGAGGCCTCATGCTCAGACCACAGATGGATCTGCTGCGTATTACAGGTCGATATCCCCGCTATACCACCATGGAGAAATCCCCGCAAGACGGATAAAACAAAATACCTCAACACCCGCGAGCGAAGACGTCAGTCTTTTGGGGTTTGGGTGTTGGGGGAACTAATACCATAGCAGATCAATCGCTCCTAGAAGAACAGGTAGCAGCTGTCACTAAAGCCATGATCGATAGCTACCATGAATCATGTCCAGTAATCACTCCACCAAAACATGCTGAGCAAAAGCAACAGTGGTGGGGTAAAGAACTAGACAGGAAACGTAAGAAGGTAAGGAAAGCCCTAAATAGGGCAATGAATACCTCAAAGGATGAAGACTGGCTTCTATATAAAAAAGCTAAGTCTGAATACAAAAAATGTATCAGGTATCGACGCTCAACAGGGTGGCGTTTTCTGTGGTAATTCTGTGGTAGCATAGAAACCTGTGAACAAGCAAATCGGATAAGGAAAATCCTAGCTAAACAGAACACGCCGGGATCTATTTCTTTAAAGAAACCCGACAGAAGCTACTCAACATCGCCGGATGAAACCCAACGCATCCTAATTGATACTCACTTCCCAGGTTGCTGTGTTGTTGAAAGGGTGAACCGGCATGAAGATGCACCGACACCAACAAAAGAAGACTGGGAATTAGCACAGAGTGGTGACGATGGACAAAATCCATTGGGCCATTCATAGTTTCCAACCCTATAAGGCAGCAGGACCGGCTTATTCTCGGCACTTCTACAGTGGGGGGGTAAAGTCCTAATAGTCAGACTTGTCGCCATAATTAGAGCATGTCTGGCTCTTAAATATGTTCCTAGGGGATGGAGGGAAGTGAAAGTCACGTTCATACACAAACCAGGTAAGAACGACTATACAGACCCTAAATCCTACAGACCTATTAGCCTCACATCCTTTCTCCTAAAGACGATGGTGAGGATGTGTGAACGGGAGTTGAGAGGGTCGGCGATAATTAACTTACCGCTACACGAAAAAAAACACGCCTATAGCTTAGAATCGGCGCTTCACCAGGTAATAACAAAGATTGAAGAGGCCATCCAAAACAAAGCAATATGTCTAGGCTCCTTCATAGACATAGAAGGTGCTTTTGACAAAACAAATTTCTCCAGCATAAAAGGTGCCCTAAGTAGATATAATGTTGAACCAGCACTGATTGACTGGATAGTAAACATGCTCAGTACACGAACAATAAAGATTGCTGGTGAATCTCAGACAATTCAGATCATGAAAGGATGCCTGCAGGGTGGGGTTCTTTCACCTCTCCTGTGGAATATGGTCATTAATGAACTCATCAGCAAATTAAACGCTAACCATTACTACACAGTCGGTTATGCAGATGATCTGACAATACTGGTCTCTGGTAAGACAGCAAGCATTGTGTGCGACCTGACTCAAGCGGCTCTCCATACTGTGGAGAGATGGTGCAGGGAATATGACCTAAACGTTAATCCAAATAAAACGATTATAGTAATGTTCACACAAAAACAAGTCTTTTCAGCACAAAACTCCAACTTTCTTCCGAGGTAAAATACCTAGGTCTTACCTTGGACAGTAAACTTAACTGGAACGAACACATAGAAAACAAAATCAGCAAAGCTAGTTTAACTTTCTGGCAGTGCAGAAACATGATTGGCAAACGATGGGGTTTAATGCCAAAAATTATACTGTGGCTGTACAAAACTTTAATTCGGCCCATGATCACATACGGCTCTCTGGTATGGTGGAGCAAAACCAATGAAGCCACCACTATACAAAAGCTTCCGCGTTACCAGAGATTAGCTTGTATGGCTGCCACAGGCTGCATAAGGACTACACCAACAGCAGCTTTGGAGGCTATGCTGGAGCTAACACCGCTTCATCTACATATACAACAAGAAAGAAAGAGAAGAGAAGCAACTTTAGCTGCCATTAGACTCAAGACCCTAAATCTTTTAAGTAAGAGTAGAGTCCTCCACCATACAGATATAATTGATAGAATTTACTCAAATTCCTATCTTATAAGCCAAGTATGATAGGATCCCAAAACAATTTGTATTCAATACGAAGTACAGGATACAATTGAAGGAAACTGACCATCTGGAAGGATTGGGTCCAAGAGAGCTCAAAGTTTTCAAGGATGGCTCTAAGACAAATGAAGGTGTGGGGTCTGGGGCTTTCTCTGAAGACCTTAATATCCACATATGCACACAGCTGGGTACCCACAACACAGTCTTTCAGGCTGAATGCATGGGTATCATCCAAGCGGCCATAGTAATAGATGCTAGGAAGGTGAAAGACTTCTCCATCAGAATACTGACCGACAGTATGGCGGTACTACAAGCGCTGAGTTGCAATGTGACGAACTTGGGACTGATATACGAGTGCCATCAACGATTGAATGAGGTATGTAAGCACAACAATATGACTCTGCAATGGATCAAGGGACACAGTGGATCTAGAGGCAACAATGCAGCAGATGAACTGGCCAGAAGGGGATCGGCCCTAGCAGCTATAGGGCTGGAACCAATAATACCAATCCCTTTGGCAACTTTCGTTCACTGGTACATAGATACTTCAATAATTTACACGCTCAGCTTTGGAAAAATTTAGTAGACTGTAGACAAGCTAGGGAGGCCCTACCTGAAATGAACAGTCGTCTAACCAAGGTTCTAATGGGACTGAACAAGCCACAGATCAGGATAGTAACAAGTGCTATCACAGGACATGGCTCTTTTAACAAACATTTGTTCACCATAGGTGTTACTGACAGCTCCCTGTGCAGGGCATGCATGGGAGAGGAAGAAACGGCGGCTCACGTGTTGCTGACATGTCCAGAAGTCGCTTCATACAAGGCTAAACATCTCGGTGCGCCGGGATTGCTCCCCGAAGTTGCTTGCAACATCAAGGGACTGCTGAGCTTCTTCGGGGAGATATCATGGCTCGAATAAGCATATTATTCCTGCCCACACGCAAAATACGCGCTTAGACGTGGAGTTGCGGAAAACAGCCCGTCGTAAACTAAACTAAACTATCTTTTGCCATTTTTTAGCTGAAGGACTTTTAGCCATTCCGTGAAAATTGAACTGTTCATCCAGGTGCTTTTTGTGAGGCGTAAATAATAGACATCACGTGTTTGGAACAACGCGGTTTCTGACTAGCAGGCTGCTGCAGTTGTCGAATCTCAGGATGGTATGGTAGCAGGTTAATCAACGTTCAGATAATCGACGCTCTACTGTACAACATTTTTTTGTGTGTATATGCAAAATGCCATATATTCCAATAGATACTGTTTGATGCTTTCTTCTAAGATAATGTAATAACTAATGATTGCTTTGTCCAAAACTTTTGTGTGGAATAAAACCCATAGTGAAAATATTGTCAGAAGAAAAGTAATTTACATAGCCCAGCTGACCCAAGTTCACTTCAGTTTACTGCTAGCCAGCATTTTTGAATAATTTAAATGTTTGTGGTACAAAATAACACATTAATCAGAAATTATACATTATAAGCTCTATGAAGTGGCAATTGGCTGTACATATAGTTCAAAGAACAGACTACTGATGCTTTGTACTGGTGAACTCAGTGTTGGGTGACCCCCACTAGATAGTGACAACCTCATGAAACATGTAAGCATTTGATGGATGCAGGTTTCTCAGGATTGTACTTTGTGGCAATCTACGGGGAATGCCGATGTTTAGCAGTATACTTGGGATGGGCGGTTGGTTTTACTGAAAAAAAAAAAAAAAAAAAATACACAAAAAAATTCTAACATACTTTTCTTCCCCTTCTCTCATGATAACACACAATGATCTTTATACCCGCAAGCTTGAGAAAATTGGTTGAGCGGGTCGTAATAACAAAAAAGAAGCTGCACTCACAGACTGCATCCTTCGATTTCTTAAACAGTAGTAAACTAACACCATTTGATGTAGTTTTGTGGATCACCTACTACCTAATACAAACAATTGATAGTAGAAAAAATAATCACATTTACATTTTTTCAGTATATGTTTTACAATTAATTTGTATGCTATAGATTTATGGTTTAAAAAGTGTTTTAAATATTAAAATAAATGTATTTAATTTTTTCAAAATACACAAACAGACAAAATATCTTACGATTTAAAATGGCTGCTAAATCTGAATACACTTTATATAACATAATTAGTGTGAATATTCAATATACCCAACAAAAGATTAAAATACCGGTGGGTATAGGGCTATAGGGTGAGGTAGGTAGGTCAACCTTTAGTAGAGGGTCAGCTTAGAGATATTAATGACCCTCATAAAACCTTTGATATAATCTATCTACCTTTGGAACATCTCTGATAATACAAAACGAAATAAAGAAGGTAATAAAATACAAAATAAAGAAACTAATAAAATAAACATTATTAATCTCACAATGACCAAAAAGTGCCAGACTATAAAATTAAAGATGCTATAAACCACGGAATATATTTTTTTATATTGGGTGCTATAAACGTTGCAGATTGGAATTTTTTTTATTAAAAACTCACCACTTTTTGGGAGGCTTCTGATAACATTCACAGCAGCGTTGAACTTCTCTTCAAGAGACATTTTAACACAAACACAAAATACACAATTAACTTTTATACTGCGTGCACTTTGGGCTTAAAATAATCGCTAAATGATCACTAACTAATTATCACTGACCAACAACCACCAACAACTGACATGTTTACAATACAATCACTGACCCATAGAGTAGAGTAATATAGGGTATGTTCCGAAATACAACGCAGTGTACTGTCCAATGCAAATGACGTATCATTTGACACTTTATTGTACTAGCGTGCCGCCGCCATATTGTGTCGGATATCCGGCCATAATAAAACAATTTTTAATTGTGTGTTTGCCGAATGAAGCATGCCAGAATTTGTTTCTATTTATTCAAATACAAAAAATTATAGAATAATTGATGGTATATCTATTAGGAGGATATAATGATTTTTGGAGCACAAAATGACAAAATAATCGCCAACACTTTTCCAAATGGCGCAAAAGTATGACATCATATACTGTCCAATGTTTTGGAACGAATCACCAGTATAGCGTCGATTCATGACGTCATTTGCATTGGACAGTACACTGCGTTGTATTTCGGAACATACCCATATACAGAAACACTGACCAGTTCACACAGACTATAATATATGGAGATAGATAGATAGCATAGGTTTCTCTGTCTACGGATAGCATAGATAGAGAAACTGACGTTTACTGCCAGTTTAAACAAAGGTACTCTGTGATCACTGACAGTCTTTTTTTTTTCTTTATTAACTAGCTTTACGGCTTTGGTTTCTAGACCTTCTGAGCCTATCCTTTCTTTTGGAATCTTCATTTTATGTTCTTTTTCTTTACAATATGCTGATGCGTCACATTGCGAAGCCCTTGAGTGATTTTGACGACAGCTCAACCTAGCGGATCGCCCAAGCGATCAAAAGAACTTGAGGTTTATATCGACATCAAAGCACTTGTTTCGTCGTTTTCTCTAATAGTTCACACGCGCGGACACTTAATTCACAAAATCGCATCACTTGTACGAATCAAAATCCACTTCAAACCATTATTCAAGCGACAAAACAGGAGCGACAATCCGTCTACGACCAAGTTCCCGCCAAAACACCACTGTCTTGTGTCTTCATAGTCATAGATAAATAAATATGTAGCAAGCGGTCTTGCTCTTGGTATTTTTCAATTATACAATATAAAATGTATTTTTAATAATATTACACAGATCGCTTAAAATGCAATAGTAATCTATGCTTAGTATCTTATCGGAAGAAACCAACCTAAACAAAATAGATTAGAAGCTAACTCACTCTCTCCCCATATCACAGATTAAGAAATATGTAGCAAGCAAACAGGACTGAGTACCTGCTCGAAATCGAATTCAAAAAACAAGTCATACGAAGAAAATACATAAGTATTATTGGTTGCAGTAACGGTTCATTTTATTTACGATATTGTAATTCGTAAAGGAGACAAAACGAGACAAGATAGATAGTTAGAAGAGAGGCCATTTGTCCCTCTTTCTCAATTGCCATTCTCGGCTACGACTACGAGTAAAAGTAGAGATGGGTCAACTCGAGTTGGATCTGTCTAACTCGAGTTTGGACTGGCTGTACATGAACGAATCAAACGAGCGAGCGAAAGACTAAGAGCACGATTCGTTCGTTCTATGCATAGACAGTGTTTTTTAGAATATTATTTTTTGCTGAAAATACTAACTTTCCTCGCTAAATGGCGATACTTAGCTTCCGAGCGAGAAAAGAACTAACCCTCTTACCACCAGCTGTAACGACCAGTCACGGATAGATTTCCTTAAGAAACTTTACCCGCACGTGGACCCCACGGACCGATAGTCTCTACAGCGAAGGACACAAATATGCAGTCATCTCTAAGAGGGACATATTTGCGCCGCTTACTTAGATCAGTTGCCTCTGATGTCGCCCCTGCTTTAAACGAAGTATTCCTGAGATGAGAGGCTGCCAAAGTGTCTCCGCAAGTAACATCCCACACCTCTCCAGTCTCTACCGAGGGATTAATTGTACGGGAAGTGACGCACTAGTGCCTTAGGAGGGAGGGGAGCTTCAGAAATACTCACAAATCTTTCAAACAGCCATTGAGGTTTCTAGAATACAACACTCGTCGCTTTGCCTGTCTCATTAGTGCAGAGTGGGGTGTTGAGAGCGAAGTTCGAGCGGATAGTGAAGTGTGTTTAATTATTAGTGTTTTAGTTTTAATTTGTGTAAAGTAAATTAAAGTGTATAGTAATTTTATCGGCATTTTAGTCACGAACCTCAAGCCGTATAACATACCGTCAGGTCTCTTGCCTTCTTTTTCGTTTTTGAGTATTATTTTTCTTTTATTTATTTAGAAAATACTTAAATAAATACTTATAAACTCGGTGGTCCTATATCTTGATTATATATATATATATATATATATATATATATATATATATATATATATATATATATTTTTTTTTTTCAATATGTAACAAAAACCTTGTGGTTTCCGTTAAGTACGTTATCGGAATCTGTATTCAAACGTATAGAACTTTAGATCAGAAAACTCGACATAAAAACAATTAAATAAAATTTTAATTAAATAATATTTGTAAATTTTATATGGATTGATTACCTCTGCCTGGAATTATCAACAGCGGCGGGCGGCGACCGGCGGTGACCTACATCAAAGACGGGGCGCGTGCGTCTTACCTACACTAACTGCACCCTGAGGTCGTGACCTCGTCACATCACAGCTGTTATAGTCAAACACTAATTTATCACCATGTCTACTTGACGACCCACGAAGATGTTGTTCAATATGTCCACCTTGTACCTCTATACATTTGTGACACCGACTTATAATGTCTGAACGCACGCGTTGCATAACAGACATTTTGGACTTTATTTTTTTAAAAGCTGCGACTATACGCATACACATTTCTGCCTCGGTATCGCATGTTTTTTTTTTTTTGAATACAATCTGCTTAATCGTACCCCAGAGATAAAAATCTAAAGGTGTGAGATCAGGTGATGAGCAGATGAGGCGCCGGCCAGTTGACCGGTCCACCGGGGCCAATCCAACTTTCATCGAATTCAGTATCCAAAAAACTTCTTACACAACGGGAGAAATGTGGTGGAGCGCCATCGTGTTGAAACCACATTCGACGAAGGAGGTCTAAATTTAATTTGTCTAGTTCATTGCTTAGTTCTTCTCGCAAAAAACGTTCGTAGTTTTCACCGATCATTGTGTGGGTCAAGGAAATACGGACCGATAATTTTGTCACCAATAATTCCCGCCCTCACATTGATTTTCCATCGGTGTTGAAAGTGGCTTGGTTTATACGAATGCGGATTTTTCGTTGACCATACGTGTTCATTATGAGCGTTAAATACACCTATTCTTACAAAAGAGCATTCATCCGTAAAAAGTACGCGGTACAAAAACTCAGGATCTCCTTCAACCTTATCAAGTAACCATGTACAGTAATTCATTCTCGGCTCGTAGTCATTGGGAAGAAGACACTGAACTCGACGATAACGAAACGGGTGCTGGCCATCATCTTTGAGGGCCCTCCAAACACGCATATGGTTCACACCTAGTTCACGTGCCACCGAGCGCGTGCTCCGTGTCGCATCTTCCTCAAACATGTCGAGAACGTGCTCCTCGTTATCGTCGTCGTACATCCTCATTCTTCCTGAATCTGTACGTTATTGATCACGGCCATGCACACTGCCAGTATTGTACATACGAATGTGAAGTCGTTGGAACGTCATCGCCGAGGGCAATTGTATATTTCGTGGAGTAGCAAAGCACGCCCCGTAAAGTCTTCGTACTGCTGCATAATTGCAGTTACATTTCCCGAGACACATCAACATATTAAAATATTCTTCGTTTGAGTAAGACATCGTACACTATTCACTCACGGCGGAATATTAATTTCGCAATATAAAACACAACCGTCAATATCAGTGCTAACGCGCTACTGGTGATTGACGCTCGTTGGTTTACATAGACGTGGCAAAGCTATCGCAAAATCGATAAAAAATTTCGTGATTTTTTTATGTTTTCTTTTAATAATAGTTATTATTTATTTACTTCAGACAGCGTCCGTGTTATTAAGAAATTAAATTATAGCTAGGATTAGTAAAAATACATTAAAACACTTTTATAACAAGAAACATTTAAAAAATTGTGTTATAAATCCAAACAATAGCAAATACTTAAACTATTATGCTGTTGTGTTTTTCAAAATCGAATAATTAGCTTTTTTTATCGACCGACGATAAACAATAATTATTTTTATTTCTATTCTTGACCACTGAATTGTGGTTTAATTTTATGTCTATAAAGACATAAAATTTTGTCACAATCACAAAAACTTCCAACTTTTGTACAAAACTTCCCATGTTTTTAAATATTATTACCAAATATTAGCACAGAATAATTAATAGATACGACGACCACGAAGATGTTGTTCAATATGTCCACTTGTCCCACATTTGCGACACCGGCTTATATGTTTTATCGACCGACGATAAACACACTTATTTTTATTTTTATTCTTGATCACTGAATTGTGACAACATTTTATGTTCATAAAACCTTCCATGTGTTTAAATATTACTACTAAATATTAGCACAGAATAAATAATAGATATTGGATCAAAATTAGTTAGTCAGCATAAAGTGGACGCTACGTTTTATCACTCGAAGAGTGGAGTTTTTTGGGTTTTTCCTTGTACCTAAGTCCTTCGTCGGCTTTTGCTTTAAGCGCTTATTACATTATACAATTTTTAGAAAATCTAATTAGGAAGTAGGAAGGTGTAATCGTAGTTAGAACAGTTAGGATCCGATTTAGTCAAATTGGAGGTCCCGACCGCTCTACTTCCTAAATTGTTTACAATTAGGACAGTGTAATCGCAACGTTACGATTTAGAACAACCAGTCGGCGCCCGCGCTTTGATAAAAGCGGATCTCTTGAAGTTTTGATAGAAGCGGTTCTGATATCGAGAGCAGTACTACTTTAAATCTTAATATTAATT